GAATTATTAGGCAGAATTATGTCGCTGAAAAACAATACGGGATAACAGTTCTGTTCTAACAAATATCTGGAAGGAAGATGCTGTAAGAAGTTAAGAACAGAGCTTAAGAATTTGGAGCCTTTCAATTATAATTAAAGTGAAAAAGAGGCTGTACTTTAATGTCAGTGCATGCATAAAAGGCTTAGCCATCCAATCCATATTAAATGAGTGAAGAAGTAGAGAAATTTGATTAACAAGTTTTCCTTGTCTTTTCCTTTAAATAGGATTGAAGCTGTGATGATGAATACGCACCTGAAGGTTTTTTCGCATTATATTAGAGGAGTTTTGGGTAATGGCGCATAGTGCATAATATATTGGCGCAAACGCGCAATACATCTAGTGATGAGAAAAATACTTAAAAAATTGGCACAATACAATTTCATAAGCATAATATTATATGAAAGAGGATGTCGCTCAGCTCTTTGCAATATTTGAATTACATTGTGGAATACGAATGCAGAGTATAGTAGTATGTGCTTTGCAATCTTTTTAGTATTTTCTATTCCGTTTTCCCCAGACATTTTCTGATCTCTGTCCTAAATGTCAACGATGTGTACTAGTTTTATCATTTTCTATGGCATAATAAATATTCATACATCAAAAAATTTGAGCAATTTAGTAAAAATACAAAGAGTATCTACCTAAGGATTACAAATTTTAAAAAAGAAAAAATTACTAGGTTCTAGGATGATCTCTCTTAGTGGAAAATGATGTATACATTCATAGTAACAAGTACTGTGCTATGAATAAGGTGTACCTGACCCAATGCCTGCATGCAAAAAGCTCGCAGCTTTCCTTCAGATAAATCCACTGGGAGAACTTGCCTGCAAATTATTTTATCAGAGAGAGAGAGAGAGATATCTTGGCTTGGGAATCACATGAAGTGAAACAACAGCACCAATTAAATTATATTATTTTGACCAGAAATCATATTGAATGAAATCCTCAACAGAAAGTTTCATCATAGAAAATGTTGCAAAAATGGGATCATGGTATGTCAAACCTGATTGCGGAAGGGATTTGTGGAAGAACATGCTGAGTTGCACAATCCAAATATCCTGCTGCTTTTAATAAAGCATCAATTGCAGCACGTCTACTCTCTGCAACAATTCATACAACAAGATGATGAACATTAATCAGCATATGACTAGAAGGGAACATCCGTCTACAAAAGAGCAGAAATCACATTGCTTCAGTTCTGTGTTCATTCTACCCAAAAAAAATGGTATACATAGAATATGTAATGGCAATTCCAGATGCAGTTTAAACTGATAAAAATATATCCTACACTTGGTCTTAGCCAAAAGGTCAAGCATTGTATAGATCCTGATATCACTTTAATAACACAAAAATATAAATGCCAAGAGGACTGTTAGAAATTTCAAATACAGAATTTTTACCCACGCCTAAATCAGGTTTGCTATAAGGCAGTAAATAGGCTTTGGAGACTGAATTCAAGAATACGCAATAATATTGAAGACACCATTATTTCAGTCTTGAAATCATGAAAGACAATGTAGTCTTATAAGAAGGCACAAGATGTAAAGCTTGAAATTATGTTTAAGCTAAACCCACCTTCGACTATCCTTGGCTGATAACCATCGCTCGACATTTTAGGAAGAAGGAATGAATTGGCCTCAGACAAACATAGCATAGCCATCAGGTGTAGAACTGAAAGCACCTCATACCAAGCATTTGCTATGCCTGTTTCCTGCACATGAAGACCATTACCAATCCTCAGATTACTTACAATTAATGAGACACATTTATATAATCACCATCAGAATAATAGTAGACATGTATGTCTACCTCTGCCTCATCCTCTTGATTAACCCAGACAAACTGCACCTTGTCTATTAGTTCACTTCCTGCAGATTATTGTGCATCCGACTCAAGAGTTGAAAATGGAACAAGATACAGGTAGAAAAACAAGAAGCATATGCATATCAAATTACCATCCTTAACCAATCCTAGTAGAAGTGGTAAGTAATCTTCTAGAGCTTGCATAAGATCAGCTAATGTCGAACCTCCTGCAAACATGAAAACCATCAACGTCCCCCTAATACATTTAACTCAAACTGATAAATGATTTGGACTAACGCTTCTACTAACCATGTTGAGTAGCTGTTTTCCTCCTTGGTTTTATAGCTACCGGTGCTTCTTGAGCGGCCATTACAACTATTCTAGTCCTCATGGAAGAGAGGCGCTCCACTAAATTTCTTGACAAGCTATTACCCAATGGCTGAGAGAAGTCCACACTTCTAGGAATTCGCAGGCCCGGTACAAAAACAGCCAACTCTCCAACAGTCCCAGGTCTTCTTCTGATCCCTCCCCCATCTCTTGGTATGGATACCAGGCATCCCATGTCCCACCCGGAATTTTTCCACTCGAGACTATAATTTGAGCTGCATAAACAAAAGACCATCAATTCAGACTACTTTTAGACAATCCTACAAATTTAACAGAAAAATAGAACTAAGTGATGTTTCCTTCCATGGAAACATGCATAGATTGGGGAATTACACAATACTTTCATCATTTGTCATGATAGTTTCCTCATGCCTACGCAAGGACAAGAATTGCATGACGCTACAATCCAACAAATTTAACAGAAATATAGAATTAAGAGATACTTCCTTGAATGGGAATATGCATAGTATCGAGAAATAACATAACAATTTCATTATTGTCATGATAGTTTCCTCGTGTCTACGCAAGGACAAAAATTGCATGAAGCTCTTCTCATCAATCAAAAAATAGCAAAGAGAACCGAAAAAGACCAAATTAGATAAAGAATCTCCTCCCTTATTACCATTAAAGGATCCTTTGCCAGTGGTAGAAAAATTCACTCATTTCAAAATATCAAATTTATGGAAAATGACAAACTGAGAACAAAATGAAATGAATCGTTGGATTCCTCCTCAATGAACAAGGAGATGCATTCACCACTGAACCCAAATCAAGATATGGATCAAATCTTCATAGGAAGAAGAGATGACAAGTGGCAAAAAGACCATGTAGTCAACCAAGTTGAAGAAGGATAGAGTAATTAAATGCCAACTAACAAAAAAGAGTGGGTGGTTGATCACGGACTCTAGCCCAAAATTCACAAGCCCATTTGATACTACAACTGCTAAGCTCAACTTTTTCAGCCCACTAGCATTAGAACCTTGATTGAGCAATTGAAGGTACTGGCTTTTTTTTTATCAACTCAAAAGTGATTCTCACGTCAGAAGACAACCCAGCGAAAAGTGCTAGCATTTTTATTTTTCTTTGGATTGCAGCAATTAGGCTATGAATAGATAAGCTCACGAAATCCTTGTTGCAAAGAAAGCTTAAAAGCAAAGAAGAATGAACCTCCCCTAAAAAGGGGAAACTCTCATCAATTCTAGAATATAACTTAATCAAAGCAATAAATTTGATTTTAAACCCATTCTTTTACACTCGATTTATTTTTAAACCCCCACACTTCCAAATCATTGTACACCCAAAATTTCTAAGCTCTTTATTAAACACAAAACCTGTGTTAATAGGTAATAAATTGTGGTAAACTGCTATAATTCAATCTCAACTGTTCGTTAAATTGCTATAACTATATTAGTTGAAGTGCTATAGCAAAAGGAACAAATACCGAATCTGGCTTTAAAAATAAATCAAGCTGGCTGTTTTGGATGCACAAATGACTTTGAAAGTGGGGGAGTTTAAAAATAATTCAAGATAAAAAGAATTTGAGTTTAAAATAAAAAGGAGAAAACCAACCAACAAATTCAAACTCTACAGGAATCTTTCAGTGGGAAGCTAAAGTGAAGGGAATCAGAAGAGCACTCTTAAAGTTGAAAAATCGAACCTTGGAGGTATTCCAACGATTAAAAAAACGAAAAACCAAGAATTCAGGCAAAATTAGGGAAAATCAAAATGGAACTGTTAGAAGAGATGCGTCTGAATCGAGAAACAATCTTAGATCGACGAAATTCAAGCTAAAAGCGAGACAATCACGCTCAAAAAGTGTGAAAAATCGCATCTTCAAGATATTTTCGACAATTAGGAAACTAAAAATTAAAACTCAACAACTCAAGCTAAACCAAAGTTTGAGGAATTCGAGCTCGGACCGATAGAACGTAACGAAATTCGATCGGAGTGAGAGAGAATTACACTGAAACCGAATCCCATTTCGCCAACGCTCACTTCTCGAACACCAAACACCAGTCCGATCAACTCGAAAACCCTAGATATTCGAGCTGGCAAAGAATTAACCTAAAAGGGCCCTAAAAAAACAAAAATTGCAATTGAATGGGATTGAGCTGTAGAATTGGAGGAGCTGTGGCTCTGAGGGAGACGCTCAACGAGAGCGAGAGCGTCCAGATGGCGCCCAATATCGAACCTTTTCGAAGAGAGAAGAAAAAAGTCGAGATTTTTTTTTTTTTTCCTTTCTTCCAATTGTTGAATTGAACGGAGCTAGAGATTGAGATGATAGGACGGTGATGATTATGCGGCCCCACTGACCGCCAAAGTGACCAGAGCTACAACGTCATACCATTATACTGTACGGGTTTTATGCGTAGAAATATTCTATCTGTACTATTAAGGGGCCCACCGTGCATTATTTATCGAATTGTATATCTCGCCAAATTGATAATATGATTTTACTATATAACTATTAATAATAAATTTTTTTTATTATTTATAGAGTGAATTTTTAAAATAGTTAAAAAAAATATACCAATTAGTAAGTTTTATTAATTTTTTATAATAGAGCTAAAAAAAATTATTTCTAGAATATCTAATAAAGATTAAATTCATCATTTGCAAAGATAAAAAAAGATATAAATATTATTTTTAAGGTTACAAAATGATATTTCATCTTGAAAAGTTGATGAAAGGCAAAAAAACAAAAAAAAACATGAACAGTGATGGAAAGAAAATCATTGCAGCACAAGCATTCTTGGAGTTCAGTTTATCTCAGAAGCGCATGCATGCAAGCGATCAATTCTGAGCTACAAGTGTGGATGGTAATTACCCCCCTATTTACACCCACTTGTAGCTCAAAACCACCCGCTTGTATGCGGGCGGTTCTGAGAGAACCCCTATTCCATCACAGCGTAGGCTGAAAAATAAACTGCAGCATGAACAATAATTGTAATATTTTGAAAAATATTGCATCAAAAATATTATTTACTGCAGTATAAACTAGTAATTTTGAGATTATGCTTTTAAGATAGAAGTAGCGGATGCTTGTGTAGTTTTACTTTCTCTGATGGGTTCAATTTTTGTTAATGCATGGTTAATTCCACAAAATCACCAAAAATTATTTGAGCTTTATTGTAATTATTGTAACTGTCATCAACTTCCTCATGAAATTGTCATAAATGACGCGTGTTAAGGTAAGTTTACAACGATGCACATTTTGTTCGTTAAGTTTGATAACGATACGTATGTGGCATGTTTTAGGCATTCTAGAATAAGTCCCTCAAAACCATCTAGCTGTTTGAAATCGATCTATTTGTTGTCATAAATGGCAGGTATTTTGACGCTTATTTATTTTATATAATATTTTTTTTTCACTCACGTACTCCTCTTTAACTATTAAAGGTATTTAAATTTTTAATAATGTTGTTAGCATTCTTAGGATAATTTTATGGCAGCCTATTACGCTTTTCTGCAAAATTTGAGGTTTAAGACTCTCCTCTAGTAAAAATAATTAATAGTGTTATTTATAGGATTTATAAGAGTAAACATGGTTGGAAAGTGTGCACATTCAAACCTTACGACGTGTTAATGTAATTCCCCTTTTTATCTACTTTTATATTATTATTTTTTATTCTCTATATTTTTAACTATTTTAACAGTTAATCCCACGTATTAAATTTTATTTTTTCACATATTTTTCAAACAAAATGATTTATTATTTAAAAATGATGTGATGAACAGTAATAGCACGATTAACAGTGCAGCGCCATATTTGACGTCGTACTGTTCTTTTTCACCAAAACGACGCGAGAAATAGAGCGGAAAGAATAGTCTCGTTGCATCAAAATGACTCGGAAAATGAGGTATGATTGGACATGCCCTGAGGACGAAAAAAAAAATCCAACACACGTCTTCAACCTCGATTAGGATAGAGGTGCTGAGGTGGTGCCTAACTCCTAATTTTTCCGGGAAGATCGGAAGCCATTCAAGCCAACGTCAAATTTGCCAAGCAAATACTTCGTGGGGCCCAACCCTGGCCTACCATGTGGCTTGCACGTATCACGACCACGTGTGCACAAGTCTATTTAACCATGGGTCCAACCTACTAAGAGAGGACTACGAGCTGATGTCAGCTTACATACAAAAGGGAAAAAAAAAAGAATTGGGTCAGTATATCAATCGCTAAATCTTTTTCTTTTCATTTAGTTCATTGTATTATGAGTTTGTAGTAGCATCTAATTTTAGTATGTGATTGAAGATTTTTGTTATGGGTCAGAAGGAAGACAAGGTGATTCGGACAAAATTTTAGAAGAAATGGACTTGTTGTGCAATTTACTCTAAGTTGGACGAAAACTTTTTTTGAAAGTTACTTACATGATAAAGACCTTACAAGCTTGAGACACAAAAATTTTGTTGCCACTTAGTAGCGATTAAATAAAAATTGTTTTATGTATAGACCACACTGAAGATTAAAATATCAAATAATGTGAATTGCGTATTAATAAGACAAAATGTTTAGCAAATAATCCTTTTAAGGGTCTGTTTGTTTGTCTAAAAAAAGTGGGAAACCAAAGAAATGGAAAACTATTTCTAAAAAGAATTATTTTGGGAGTGTTTGGTTTGCTAAAAAAAGAAGGAAATCAAAGAAATGAAGATGAGATGAGATGAGTTGTCACCTTATTATAGGATGATGTGAGTGATTTTTTAAGAAAACTTGTTTTGATGTTGTTTGGTTGGCGAAAAAAATAAGGAAATAAATTATAAAAAACAGATTTCTTATAATAGGTTGTTTTCTTTTGTTTGGTTCATACTTAAAAATAAGAAAATAGATGAGATGAGATGAGTTATCATTATATTATTGGATGATGTGACCCACACTTAAGGAAATTGTTTTCCTAGCTTTTTGGGAGGAAATTGATGGAAATAAAATGTTAATGAGATGGGATGAGTTGTCACCATCTTATTGGATGATGTGAGTGATTTGAAATGATGAGATGAGATGAGTTGAGTGATTGTCACCATCTTATTGGATGATGTGAGTGATTTGAAATGATGAGATGAGATGAGTTGAGTGATGTTGTGAATGAAAATAATATTTATTTGAAATGATGAGATGAGATGAGTTGAGTGATGTTGTGAATGAAAATAATATTTTATTAGGTGTGGTGGATGAGTTGTTGTATAAAAATAATATTTTATTAGATGTGGTGGATATGGTGAATGAGTTGTTAGATGAAAATAATATTTTATTAGATGTGGTGGATGAGTTGTTGGATAAAAATAATATTTTATTAGATGTTGTAGGTGAGTTTTATGGATGGAAATGGATGAAATTGTACTTTTGAGTTTTCTTTGTTTTCATTTCTATTTCTTGGTTTTTTAGGAAATAACCAAACAGGCCCTAAAGGAACTTCATTTTCAATATATTACAAAAAAGAAAATAATTAAGAACTAATGCTTTCAGAAAGAAAAAAATCCTCACTTTAGAACAGCTTATGTAGGACCCAATATCCTAGAAAGATCTTACCATAATTGATATGATCAAGACATTTTTCTCTCAAATGCTCATTTGGTTTAAAAAAAATAAGGAAAGTAGGAAATAGATCAAAAGAAGTAACTTCTGAATTTATGAAATATGAAGTAGTGGAAATAAATTTTTTGTTTGTTTGTTTCACATATTTTTTGAAGTTGTGGAAATAATATTTCTTTTCTCTTTCTTTTTCTTTTTTTGTTTTTAAGTTTGGATAGCAATGAAATTTTGTTAGGATTAAAGAAAATAGTAATAAAAAATTATTTATTTCCTAATTAATACGCATTTCACCTACTTCAAGGTCATTTTCGAGTCTTGAGGGGCGAAAAAATATTTAGGAAGTAAGAATGACACGTGGGCGCCACATTAGCGTTTAAGGAAGTATTGAAAATAGATTTTTCAGATAAACAAAATATTTTTTTTCTCGGAAATAGCAGAAATAGCATCTTCTTTCTTTATTTAGGCTACTTTATTATTACTTCCGTGCAAACGAACAGATATATGCTGACAATGTCCAAGAAATTTTCCTCAATAATTATCGTACTTATACGAAATGTTTTTTTTGTCGCGCGCCTATGCGGAAGCGTTGCACGCACACACAACAAACTTGAGATCACGGAAGAAGAAAGCCACACACTTGCACAAACCAAGCCAATTACGACAAATCAAACCAAACACAGAGATATACGTGGTTCGGCAACTTGCCTACGTCACATATCCCATAGTAGACCGACGCTTATCCAAATCCCCGGCATAATCCGAATCAACATATCCAATGCAGCTTATCCAAATCCCCGGCATAATCCGAATCAACATATCCAATGCACAACTGCCCACCTGTAGTGTCCCACTCATAAACCAAACCAACATTGAGCGTACCTCGAATGTACCTCAAAATCCATCTCACGGCATCCCAATGACCCACTCCTGGACACCATGCTCACCGTCTGTGACAAATCCGGCCTCGTACATATCATCGCGTACATCAAGCTCCCAACTGCGCTCGCATATGGAGTCTTCGATATCAACTCATGGTCTTCAACTTACTTCGGTGAAAGGCCAGCTGAAAGCTTCAAATGGGCTCCCAACGGTACACCAACTGGCTTCGTATCCATGCTAACATGGAATCGCTGTAGAACCTTCTTCAAATAAGTCACATGTGTCAAACAAATCATGCCCTTCTTCTTGTCTCTGCCGATCTCCATCCCAAAAATACGCTTCGCCTCACCCAAGTCCTTCATCTCAAACTCATTCGAAAGCTGAACTTTCAACTCATCTATAGCTGACCTGGAACTAGAGGCAACCAACATGTCATCGACATAAAGCAACAAATAAATGTACGCACCTCCTCTCAACTTGCGAAAATACACGCAAGGATCAAACTGGCTCCGAGTATCCGAATGACCAAGCATAAAACCATCGAATCGCCTATACTACTGTCGAGGAGACTGCTTCAAACCGTATAGCGATTTCTTTAACCTGCAAACCAACTTATCTTTCCCTGCAGATCGGAATCCCAATGGCTGAGTCATATATATTTCTTCATCAAGATCACCATGAAGAAATGATGTCTTCACATCCAACTGATCTAACTCCAAACCATACTGTGCCACCAAAGCTAGCAAAATTCGAATCGAAGAGTGCTTCACCACCGGAGAGAAAACCTCATTGTAATCAATACCTTCCTCCTGTGCATAGCCCTTCGCAACCAACCTAGCCTTGAAT